TGTTCTACTGGAGTGAGGAGCTAGAAAAATTCAAAATATGATGACTCTAAGTTGCTATATATTCACGAAGTACGGTTATGTACGGCTTAATGCCCCCCGTATAACCTGGCCCAGTCTCTCCACCGCCTCGTTGAGCTTCTCCTCCTTCTCCCAGGCAAAACATAGTCTCAGTCTGTGGCTCAACTCATTTGCGGGTAAGGTGTTTCCGGGTACAGCGAATAATTCTCCCTCCGCAACCACCAGATTCTGTTCCTGTAGCGCTATTTCTGTGATCTCCTTGGCGTTGAGATGAGCTGGGAGCTTGAGCCAGATGAAGTAACCTCCAAATACGGTGTAAGACTCAGAGTCAGAGATGAAGGTCACACCAAGTGGAAGGAGGTGCTGCTTGATCGCCGCTGTGAGAGTGCGGGCGCGCCGAGAATACGCTGGTAAAAGCGTGTCGTGTAGGTGCCTGTCAAGAGAGCCGTTCTCTAGCATATCGTTGATGAAGGTCGACATGAGCTGTGAAGGTGCGCCGCCAGAGTGGGATGAGCCCCTGCAACCTTTAGTTAAGATTTATGATGGAAATGTAAAAGGGGAAAACTTACGCTGCAGAGAGGTCACGGATGAACTCGGGCGTTCCCTCCGCCCATCCAACCCGGCATCCCGGCGCAACGATTTTACTAAAGCTGCCATTACTGACACAGTTCCCGAACAGGTCAAGCGGCCCTCCGTCTAGAGATGTGTCCACGTCAATGATCCGCGGCAAGGGGGTACTCTCCCCACCGGTGACATCCGCCGGCTCCCAGTTTAAGAAATCATAAACATCATCGCTGACGATGAGAGCATCGTACTTGCGCGCGAGGCGCACAAGCGCTTCCCGCCGCGACAGCGGCATTGTGGTTCCGGACGGATTAGAAAATGTTGGAACGCAGTAGATGATATGTGTGTATGTCTTCCGGTAGGGACGTTCCGGAGGCGTCGCCTATCTGCGTGTCAGTCACTTTCTATAATATGATAGTGTCAGACGCGGATCTTTACATGTTGATGATCTGTGGCACTCTTTTGGAGAGCTTTCTCAAGAAAGTCCACATCTATCCCACACTCATCCTCGGGCACGGCTCTGAGCCGATTGTAGAAACCAGCGTCCTGGAAGATACCAAATACTAAGTGGTAGATTGGTTCAACCATCCATACATATCTCGTATGCATGGGATCAGTGAAGACCTGTAGCACGCATGCAAGGTTTTGACTGGCACCTCCAGAGATGCAGATCCGTTCTGCACCCACGGTTCTCGAGAGACTATAATTCCTCCTCAGCCAGTTTGCAATATTCTTTCTGAGTTCAAAGTGCCCCTCATCTGGACCGTATCCTAGCCCTTGCTCTGTGATGAGGGGATTTGACAACACAGCCACTGCCGCATTTTGTAGGGTCTGAGTAGGGAACAAATCTGACGCAGGCCAGCCGCGGGATAAATTAAGCGGAGATGGGGGCGGCATTTTAGATTATTGAGAATTATGCACCGAACGTGATTGTTCCAGGTTAAGTCGTGGTTGTTGCAGACGGGCATGTAGTAGTCTTATATCACTTGCCGAGGAGCGGAGCCGGTGTGGCTGGATTCGGAAATGTATGCGTTCCGTCCAATCAGAGCGTAGTTTGTAAAGTCATCGTGCGCCCTCCACACCAACATCCTCATCAGAAATATTTAAGCAACGATAGCATGCTGCCTAAACCTGCTTCTTTCATTTCTTGTGACCAACCTTTATCTGATATCTGTGGCAAAGCCATATTCATTGAATACAGGCGAAATGGTCAAGATCGAAGAATTCGCCGTGGAGCGGGTAAGCGCTGCAGAATAGGTATAAGGCACACATATACTGACCAAGAACAGTGGATGGACGAGTATGAGAACGATGCCAAGTACAATCTCGCAGAGACCTGCTGTGCATCAATCTCGCTCAACGATCTCATGTCCTTCTCTGGTCAGCAAACCAGCATCATAGACTATGCTCAGAAGCAAGTCTACGGTGCAATCCGGGGGTCGAAGGCATTGAGGTCTAACATTGCTCAACTGTACACCACCGAATCTTCAGATTCCCTGTCTCCAGACAACGTTCTCGTCACCAATGGTGCCATCCAGGCCAACTTCCTAGCGCTCTACACAAACGTGGGGCCTGGGGATCATGTCATTTGCCACTACCCGACTTATCAACAACTGTATTCGGTTCCTGAATCTTTTGGCGCCGAGGTGGATCTTTGGAGATCAAAGGAAGACGCTGGTTGGCAGCTGAACCTGGATAATCTGAGATCATTAATCAAGCCGAACACGAAACTCATCATCATTAAGTGAGTGGCTGTTAGATTATACTGCTCGAAAGATGTTCTAACGGGTGATGTAGCAATCCACAGAATCCAACGGGTGCTATTCTCAAGCGTGAGACACTACAGGGAATCGTTGATATAGCACGTGAGCACAATATCATGATCCACAGCGATGAGGTGTATCGGCCTCTTTTCCATTCCCTCGATGCTGACCAGCACGAGAACCCGCCATCTATTCTCTCGCTAGGATATGATAAAGTGGTTGCCACGGGCTCAATGTCAAAGGCATTCAGCTTGGCAGGTATTCGTCTCGGATGGATTGCCTCGAGGAGTCCTGAGATCATAGAAGCATGCGCCTCTGCTCGCGATTACACCATAATTTCTGTCGGACAGCTCGACGACAGCGTCGCGACTCTTGCTCTCAGCACGCCAACCGTGCATAACTTACTTGAGCGCAATATTCACTTAGCCAGGCAAAATCTTGCCACGCTGGAAACTTTCATAAAAGAATTCGAGTGGGCTATTGAATGGACGCGACCACAAGCAGGCACCACCGCGTTGGTCAAATTCGTCAATCGAGAAGGAAAGCCGATTGACGACGTTGTATTCTGTCAACAGCTGCAGAAGCAAACCGGTGTGATGTTCGTTCCTGGCAGCCAGTGTTTCGGGGGTGGAGTTGACTTCAAAGGTTACGTCCGGGTCGGCTTTGTTCCAGAACACCATGTTATGGTAGATGGCCTCCAAGCTCTAAGAGAATTCATGCGCAACGGGTATGAGCAGTTGCCTGTTGCCACTGCATGAGGCTTGGGAGGCTATAGACCATATGCTGGCGCACATGGTATCATAGACTCCTGGCAATATTCTTCCTGTCACTTAGAGTTTGCCATACTATAGTCATCGGGAACCAAATCCAGACAATCTCTGAAGGGTAGCACTAGAGGAGAGTATCGGTCAATCCCAACGTATATACTCAAAATAACACTAGCTGTATCCCCTGCTCCGCAAAGTAAATATCCCAAGGTAGAAGACTACCAGACGACCAGAACATTCTCAACATATCTCTAGCTCTGGTGTAGTTGCCCAGTCCAAGACTTTGCATATTGGCCATGCGTTTTTGGATTAGGTCGCGCTCGCTCACGAAGCTGGTCTCACAGCCGGCAGTAAACATTGGCCAGAGAATAAGTATGTTGGCAGGAGAGAAGGGATCTATATTTAGAACAGCGTTGACGATGTTGGTGATATCTTCCTTGACTTGACTGTGATCCCTCGGAAGCAATTGAACCCGGCGGTGGAGATGAAGCAGGGAAGCATGGACAAAAGCACGATGAGTGTGCTGTAAGTCAACTGTAAGCGCACTGTCATGGTTTTTCGACGTGGAATCTGAAACAGTCCTGTCCGTAATAGACCTGATCCTGTATTCCAGCTCCTGGGCCTCTTCCAACAGCTGCCGTGGCAGGGTGAACTGTGCGCCACATTTTGCTGCCATGAATAAATCTTGTCGGCCTGCCATCTGTCCCAGCTGAGCCAACATTGGTATCAGCTCCGGGGAGTAGCCAGATATATCGTCTACGTAGCCAACCTGTGCGTCGGGGATCTTGTCCAGGTACCAACATGGATCCCTGTCGGTTAGGCTTGTACGGATTCCTGTCAGATTCGCCATAACATCTAGCGTAGCAAACCACTTGACTAGACACAAATCGAATGGATCAGCAACACTTGGAGCTTCGGCGTGGCGATCCAAGAAAGCAGCCAGTAAACGGGTTGCCCCAGAGAGATGGGCCTGCCATATGTCCCGGTTTCCATTGCATATATCGTTTGTCGATAAAGCAAGAGCTGTCATGGTTGTCTCTGCTTTTAGCATCTCCTCTGGGCTATTGAGGGCAGCCCGTAGACCGGAGACAGCATAGCTGGTGAACTTCAGAGTAGCTGTCCTTGATATCGCGGCAGTATCTCCCATCAAGCGGCCGTGATGACTACTCGCTGATGCTAGGAGCGCATGAAGTAGGTGAGGCGTTTCAAGGGCGCGATTCACTAACTGATGCACGAAAATGCTGGGGGCAGCTGGAAAGAGGCGCGGAGCGGTCTCAGTAGCAAAGAGACGGAGAAAAAATAGATACTGCTCTGTTGATAGAAATGGAGATGGGTTAAGATGAATCTGACGTGGAAGAATCACGACTGATTCGTCCATATTAGTACATAAGCTGACTTTGGGTTTTATGGGACTGTGCGGAGGCTGTTCTGATGCATCTTGACGCTTTAAGCGTTGTCTCTCACCAACAAAGTTCTGCCCATATCTACACTCTTTTGGAAAACGAGTGCATCGCGAGCAAACTGGCCTGCGCAGATCGCACTAGACGTGGGCTTAGCGGGGAGTTTTACGTATTTGTGCATGAGAAGTATTACCTTGACTTTTTTCCTTCGACACTCTGAACAGCCATCTCGCCTTCGTTGTGGAGGTGTAGGAAACTGATTCCCGAGGGCGACCAATTGCTGTCTCACTTCAAATACTACCATTTTCAATGATCAAATTGGAAGTTGCGGGTGAAATGCAAGATGTGTTGATTGATCACAATCGCCATGCTCTTCGGAGGGGAGGAAACGCCTTGCACGTGACTCATCTCACTTGAGGGGCTCGATTCGCCGCCACTGTTCTGTACTGTAAATACATACAGAGACGTATCAATAACCAGAAGTATGGAGATGTCCAACACTTCCACTACTCTGAGTCAAGTAGACGATAACACAGCTGAGTATCCCATATTGTGTATAAGGTTCATTCATGATTGGGACCATCGCATTCCTCACCAAATTGGGAAACGCAGAGTTGGGGCCAGTATATGCGGACTCTACACAAACATCTGAAGTTTTTTTGTTTTTTTTTTTTTCTCTCTCTTCTTTTTTTATAACAGCATATCGGCACAACACCTTTCCTATTCACTTCATCAAGAAATCGAGCCTACAGAGGAAATCATTTTCAACAACCGCCACAATGAAGTACACCCGGATGGCCATCGAGATCGAATTCCCCGAGGATTACGGGTACGAAAAGATCAAATACAACCTCTCAGAGAGTTCCATCGAAGACCAAACTCTTAAGGTCCCTGGGTCTCCACATCCCCAATCTTAAGCTTCTCTACAACGAACACAAAGGCAGCACAGCACTCCGCTCCCTCATCGTGAAAGACCACGATAACCTCACCCACGAGGATGTGCTCATTACGTCCGGCGCGGCGGGCGCTCTCTTTATTATCTCGAGCTCCCAGCTGGCACCGACCGACCACCTCGTTGTTGTTCGTCCGAACTACGCCACAAATCTTGAGACGCCGCGTGCGATCGGGTGTGGGATCACGTTCATCGATCTATCCTTTGAACTTAGTTTTCAGATCGATATTGCCGCGGTTGAGGCGGCTATTGAACCAAACACCAAGATCATTAGTATTACCACACCCCACAACCCTCCTGGTACTGTCGTGAACCGTGGCACACTGGACAGACTCGTCTCCTTGACCAATGAGAGGGGAATCATCTTGCTAGTCGACGAAACCTACGCCGATAATCGCGTACCAAGGACGCCTTCCGATTGCTGCATCTCTAGGTGACCATGTCATCAGCGTCTCATCCCTGTCCAAATCCTACGGGATCCCTGGTATCCGGCTGGGGTGGATTATTAACAAGAATCCCAAGCTGCAGGAGACGTTCTTGGCGGCCAAAGAACAGATCAGTATCAGCGGTAGTGTGATCGATGAGTGGATCGCTGAACAAGTTCTCTCCCGCAAGCATGAGATCCTGGGTGCTACCACGAATGAAATGGACCAGCGTCGCAAAATTGTGGCGGAGTGGATCCAGAAGGAAGGGGAGTTGGTTGAATGGGTGAAGCCAGAAGGGGGTGTTGTTTGCTTTTCTCGCCTGAAGAAAGAGCCTGCAGGTGGTCTGGATGCTTTTTGTCATCGGTTGCTACATAAATATGGGACCTATGTTGGGCTTGGTCATTGGTTTGAGCAGTCGGATGCTTTCATGCGTATTGGGTATGGATAGCCGAGTGTGGAGGAGCTTAAGGGTGGGCTTGAGGCTATTTCTATGGCGCTTCGTGAAGAGCATTAGATATATCTATCTCTGATGGTCACCTTTTAGAGGCACTTGTATCCGATTCTTAACAGGGTTGGGGAACTTGAATGCATTATGCAGCTATTGGGAATATAGACATTTCTGGACTCATCAGATAGTAACACTACTACTCACTAATCGTTTAGTTTTGGAAGTAATGTTGTTTTCACATCAACGTTAAAATTATGGCATTTGTGTGACTCTTAGAATAAATTTAGAATGTTAGTTACACTTTCTCTCCAGGTTCAGCCTTATTTATCACTATAGTGCCCCACAATTGCAGCCATTTTATAGTGGTGCTTGGCCCTATTGTAATCTAGATCCGGTAGACTAAATCGAGCTCCCGGACAATAGAGTCTAGACCAGATTTCCGCATTTCTTACCGAAATCTTAGCGTTTTACATAAAACCCCGGCTACCACGCACCTTAAAAGGCTTGGTGTCTTACCGCCCCCGAACCTCGCTACCACTCCCAGAACTGGGGCCCTAGCTTAGGGTAGCCAGAATACTAAAAATCTAAAATCTAAAAGGGACTATAGAGATATAGTACTAGTATCCCTAAACACCTAGTACTAACTTCCCTAAGTATCTATTACTGACCCCCCTAAGCACCTAGTACTAAGGCCTCTAAACACCTAGTACTGATATCCCTAAAGATCTAGGATCCGTAAGAAACTTTTAAAGTAGTCAATAGTCCAAAAGTATAGAAGTGATATAAAGTACATAATTGGTTAAAACTTAGGATGGGGCTAGATAAATAGATCTAATTAGTTAATATAAAGTGAGTTGGTATTTGTAAAGTTGGTAATATTTTATATTGTCCGTTAGCTCGATTTAGTCCGCCGTACTCAACTGTTCCACTTGTGAATAAAGACCGATCCAAATACTTGCACACATCTCAGAAACCGTATCTTACTCAAGAAAGAGCATCAATTTCACTCGAGCCATCACCAGGCTTACTGAAGAGTGCCCGTCACATGAAATGCGACTGGCCAAATATACGTAAAAAAAAATATTCCTATTTTGTAAAAATATTAAAATAAAATAATCAAACTTAAAACTTACGATCTTCCCGCTGCGCGTCCAAACTTGGTGCAACTGTGACCGTGAGGAATTCCGCTCACATTATGAGTTTAATCAAAGAGTGCCTAAAAAATTCTCGTTCGCAAATTTCAAAATTACTGTCCCCTCGACTGACAACAGTGGTGCGCGTCAGTTACCCAGTTGCAAAAGAGCCAGACTATTACAAAGCCGGAGGTTTCCATCCTATTTCCCTAGGCGATAGTTTCCAAAATGGCCAATACACTATCCTAAGGAAATTAGGATATGGCCAATATTCGGCAGTTTGGCTAGCTAGAGATGCTAAGTGTGTTATCTACTGCCGTGGCATACGAGGCTAACGGATAGGATAGGCATCAGAAATACGTAGCACTCAAGGTTCTGAGGGCTGATTACTATGGTGGCAGCCATGACATCTTTGAAAGAGAAATCCTCTCGAAAATTTTGGAAGTTTCGAGGCACAGCTCTCATCAAGGCCGCAACTACGTGTCTCATCTACTCGAGCAATTCACACATACAGGATCCAATGGAGATCGCGTTTGCTTAGCGTTCGACGTGCTAGGACATCATCTAGATTTCTAAATCGCCAAGTACGAAGATGGAAAGCTACCTGTGAGGGCTGTGAAAACAATCACATGACAGCTCCTTCTAGCGTTTGATTTCCTACACAGAGAGTGTGGCATCATTCATACAGGTATGGCGGGTTCCATAATATAAACCACTATTGTAAAGCTGATATCTCTTTCCTTGGCGTAGATTTGAAGCCAACAAACATACTCCTAGAGCTGAAGAATCCAAGCAGGACTATTGCTAACTATCTGTCAGAAGTTCCTGCACGGACTCTCCCTCAACGTGGTGTCAATACACCTCTTCGAGAGGTTATCCCGACCTCGCTAGTATCTGAAAAAGTCTCCACGTCAGGTTAATCGATTTCGGTGTTGGTAAGTAAACCTTTTCATTTCCTTCGCTCGTGAAACTTACTATGCTTATATAGCGTCTTGGAAGGAGCGTCGTTTGTCAGATTTAATCCAGTCGCAAGCTATGAGGGCTCCTGAGGTGACGATGGGAGCCCCTTGGGATACTGGCGTAGATATATGGAGCCTAGGGTGCCTTGTAAGAACATCTTGTTTGATAAACCTTTGCATCACAGTGCGATTTGGCTCATACACTGTAACAGGTTATGGAGCTTGTGCAAGGAATAGTTCTTTTCTCTGGAGATGAATCATCAAACGGAACGTGGACGGCTGAAGATGACCATCTAGCAAGGATTATGGAAGTCCTTGCTAGTTTCCGCTTCATTTAATAGAAAAAGTGAATCGTACAGCACACTTCTTTGTCAAGCAAGGTAGGCTCTCTTGACCTCGTTGATATTCTATTCTTTTAATCCGGGTGTGTTTTAGGAAGTCTTCTCCGACTTCCTGACCTCACGACAAACCCTTTCCTGAAGCCTATCGATATGCCCGAAGCTGAAGTTCCCATCTTTGTTGATTTCCTTAAGGGTATGCTCGAAATCGACCCAGGCTCCCGGAAGCCTGCGGCTGAGCTGCTACAACACGAATGGGTTTATCCGTAGAATCTAGACATAATTCGTACACGGCTTTTGGAGAATCTCTTGAACGCTGTTGCTCCGCAAATGAAGAATCCTGGATCTGGATGTGCCTTAGCCATTGCCTTAGCCCACTACGTAGATCTACAGATATCCATCTCGTCAAAGTTTTGTAAACTAGATTAGGAGGTGATAATTGTCTTTGGTAAGCAGGGCCAGCCATAGAGCTTTATGGCTGGTGCGGTGATATATATTACCAAAAGGCGGTCTGTCCTTGACCATTCGAACAATCACTGCCCGATATCATTCATATTTCTCTTGTAGCTACAACAATCATATAGCCATGGATTTCGATCATCTTGTTGAGAAGAAACAGAACCAGAAGGCTGCCGCTTGGCTAAACCTTTGGTTGAGCCGGACTCCAGAGATTTTGTCTATACAACTTGCAGAGAAGCATCGGCCTGGAGTAGTTGTGTCTGCGTGCCTGTGGAAAAGCGGTGCTTTCAATATATGCTATTGCGTCAGATATAAAGACGGACCAAATGTCATTGTTCGTTTTGCCGCCCTGGGAAGGGCTATTCTACGCAGGGAGAAAGTCGAAACTGAAGTCGCGACAATGAAATATATACGCCACACCACTTCGATACCTGTGCCTGAGGTTTTCGGCTCCGGTATCTGTTGGGCTGGCCCTTACATCGTCATGTCATTCCTCAAAGGGGTTCCATTATCACAAATCCTTAAAGATCCTTCTGTGAAGGAAAGGCCTATCCTAAACCCGCAAATAAGTGATCGGAGCTTGAAGCGGGCTTATCGCGAGATGGCCGCGATTATCCTCGAATTGTCCAAGTATAGATTTGACTCCATCGGCTCGCTTGGGCGAGATGAGTCAGGTTTTTTTATTGCTAGACGACCTCTCACTTTCAACATGAATGAGTTGATGGCATCTGCAAATTTACCGGAAGAGGTGTTCCCCTCGCACAGTTTCAGGTCAGTCACAGACTACTTTGAAGCACTTGCTACACAGCATCTGTTCCATCTTCGGCTGCAGCAACGAAATGCCGTCACCGACGAGGACGACTGCCGGAAGAAATTCACCGCCCGTTGTATATTTCTTAATATTGCAAAGAATCTCTGCGTCGAGTATCCTGAAGGGCCGTTTCGGCTGTATTGTGATGATTTCCGCCCTTCAAATGTCCTTATAGATCTTGACACTCTCCGCGTCTCGGGAGTTATCGACTGGGAGTTCACCTATGCTGCGCCTGCCGAGTTTACCTATGTGGCTCCCTGGTGGCTCTTGTTGCAAAGTCCAGAGGACTGGGAAGGTGATCTCAACCAGTTCCTGACTCGTTATTCCCCTAAACTTCGTGCTTTTTTGGAAGTCCTTAGCGACCATGAAAATATGCTGATCAAAGAACATCTCCTCGATGAGTTGCAACGCGTCTCTCCACGGATGGAACGCTCCATGGAGACTGGATTATTCTGGGTATGTTTAGCTGCGAGATACAGCTCCATGCTTGATAAAATCTATTGGACATTCATCGACCGTCACTACAATGGGACCTTTACATCTCTCGATGACCGTGTAGCGCTTTTGGACGAGGAACAGCGGCAAGAGATGAACGAGTTTGTGAGGCTCAAGACTAGTCAGTGCACTGATGATGAGAATTTCGACGATCACTATCCAATCGATAAGCTATTTGAATTATAATTATATTTATCTCGTATCGAGCTATAGTGCAGTCCAATAAATAGCATCTACAAATACTAAGGCTAGATCTCGTTAAAAGTAGTTGAACTCGTCCCTGTTCCTACTCTTTCACCATCTTCACACTTTCATTGCATATTACCAGATGAGTATGAGTTTATGACCTATCACAGATCGATACTTCTTTTGTATGGGGTTTACCGGCGCAATATTTTTCCTGCTCTGAATACAGTATAGTCTCAGCTGAAGCTCAGGTACGTGCTTACCCCAGGCATAAGTCCTCCGTCTTTCCAACCTCGGTGTGCTTCGAAGTTAGTTCAGTGCATTTAGGTATTTATATACCAGCCAAACCCTTCCATGATAGAAAGTCGATTGACAGGATCACAGGATTAGTGTTTAATATTCTTCATTTTCTCAATCTTCACACAATGGCATATCAACCATCAAGGAGACTCCTCCATCTCTACAAACCAGTTCTGCAGTCTTATCACTCCCGACGATATGCTGCAAGCAGCTCAACCAGTCTCTACACTCAGCAACCATGTCGCATGACACCGTACAACCTCTATCGACCCTTCAGCATCTACCCCCCACGATGCAATCCAACCGCCACGGTACGCATTGACAGTCTGGGCGGGGAGTCCATAGACACGTGCACGCTGCAGTCATTCCACTGCAAAGTAAGAGACTATGTGGAACGGCACGGCGTGCTGGCCGTTATCGAGACCGAGAAGGTTGGAATGGACGTAGAAGCTCCCGAGAGTGGCGTTATACGACATCTCTTTGTGAAAGAGGGGGATGTCGTTACTATTGGGCAGGCTATTGCTGAGATTGCTATTCAAGCTAAGAAGGGATAAGAGTGCTTCTGAATACCAGTACTGAGTTTGGTAATGGGGCTGAGGGTACTAATTCTTCAAATCATTGAGAGCCAAGTTAGGGCTGTATGTATGGGAGCATAACCCTAAGTATACTAGAAGATGAGATCGGCGGCCAATCCATTATGGCCCTTAAGAGAGAATCAACAAACATTAAAGAAGCTAGAGATACCTGCATACAAAACAACAACACCCTATGGCCGTTCAGTGTCAGCCACCCATTGACCATCCCTTCTCACCCACGAAACAGACCCAAACGCCGGCGCCCGCAGGATCGTCATGGAAAAGCTCTCCAGACGCGGCAACGCAGCAGCAAGACCCAGCATATCAGATGACGAAGGGAAGACGTCCCGGAAAAGATCCTGCGACTTGACCGAGTCCGCAATCTAGATGAATTAGCCACACTAACCACCTTCAATAAAACACACACCACCACACACCACACGACTCAAAAGAAAGAAAGAAAAGACTTACATCCTTCCACTCCGACCCAGGAACCCCCACAACCTCCACAACCTCCAGCTCCCCACCCCCAAGTCTCAAGGTCTCCAATAACCCCTTCTTTGCATCCTCCCCCTCAGAGACAAGGACGCTAACACTGAGAACCGCCAACCGTCTCTGACGCCGTAGCACACGTCCCAGCTGCTCAAGTGACAGGGCATAGAGCGTACAATCCAGCATCTTCAACCCTGACCCCGAATCAGATTCAACTTCATCCAACCTCTCCACCAACAACCCCGTCCCGTCATGCCCAGACCCCACCGGCACAATCCCCTCCGGCTTCCTCCCAACGCGATCCCCCACATCGGCCGGATCATCAGGCACGTCCTCCTCCTCCAACCCAGCAGTAGCAGCGTCCAACCTCAACGACACCCCCACCAGCCCTTTAACTAGCAAACGCGGCAACTCATCCACGGGAATCCTATCCAGGAACGCTCCATCCGAATGGCCGCGATACGTGTACGACACCTCCAGGAAGCGTAGTGCACCTTGGGATTTCCGGTCATGTAGAACATCGCCGATCCCCTTGATAAACCCCTTCCGACAGAATACATCCAGGAGATGCAATTCCCGGAGTCCTGTACTGGTAGTATTCTCATTCTCATCTTTATAGTTGTTTGAACCCGTGAGAATACCGCGGATGAACTCTCCTGCGTCGCGACGGGAGGCGTCGCTTACGCCGTCGATGAGGTGGGAGTACAGCGTGAGGTCTTTGAGGTTGGGGAGGGATTTCCCCAAGTTTGTGAGGAAGGGGGCTGGGTAGCCTAGGGAGAAGAGTTCGAGGGTTAGGGATTGGATTCCCTTGGGGAGAGTCGGTGGGATTATTGGTGGCGTTGCATCTTGGGTGGACAGCAGGTCTGCGTAGTCGGTGGGCTTGATGTCGGAGGTTAGGGTTAGGTGTTTGAGGGAGGCTGCTTCGGGGGGGAAGGCGGGGAGGTGGAAGGTTTGGAGGGAGATTTGGGCTGCTGTTGGAAGGGGTTGAGTGTCTATGGTCATTGTAGCCTGTATGTTGTCTATGGTCTGTTGTCTGTATGTTGAGTGGGAGTAGTCAATTGTGTTGCAGTTCTCTTGTGATGTCGTTCTTTATATGGATTTATATATGGGTCTTGTGGCTGAAGTGCGGGGATTTTGCGGAGAAATGGAGCTAAGCATAACCTCCTGGAATGAGATTCTCCGGTTGTCATTCTTGTTTCTTGTCCTTGCCTAGAGCTGTCATGCAGGGGTTCCCCTCATCTGGTTCTCTTGGTATGCACGAATCAAAGGACCTACGTCGGGGTATAGGTGCGGATCTTATGAATCCGTGAAATGTCAGAAAATAGGGTAGTTATACACCCATGTAAATATATGACCCGAATACTATACTGGGCTTAGGAATACTGCCCGCCCAAGGCATATACATATACAAAACCGAACCCTGAACTATCAATCCACCCTAGTATCATCACGCTCCATTTCCTGACAATCGTTCGGCACGCAGGCCCAGCTGCAACCGAGTCGGCGGAAAGGTAGAGGACGGAGTTTGTCGCCTGGACAGCGTGGCCCTTTGAGTCCACTCTCATATGTACTGCAGTCCCACCACTCGATCCATTCCGTCCGAGCAAGCACAAAGCTCCGGTGGCACACCGAGCACGACCGGCCACCACCGCTCCAAACTTCTTTCGCCTGTCGGAGGAGGCGGAGTATCAAGCCGGGATAGTCGGCCATCTCTTCATCCGAGACCTGGTCGAAGAAGATCGACCGGGTGCACGCCAGGAGCGACACCTCCCGTAGCGACGGAACCCGGGATTCTTGCGGATTCGGTTGACTGACGCTAGCTGGAGCATCGACTGGCATGCCCTCCATGTTGAATCGGCGCACAGGACCGGTGGCCACGTGGAGGGGAGCCCAAGCTTCCTCGGGTGCTGGGCCCTCGTAGTCACTCAGCTTCAACGTTCCCTCGGCCGAGTCCCGTTCTGTGCCCTCGGGTGAATGCCACTGGGCAATCTCTGCCTCGTGGATCTGCAGGAGCGGGTTGGGCCGGACGATCATATGTTTCAGGTCACCCTTTTTGATCAGCCACAGCAGCTCCCACGGAAGGTACTGCAAGCGATTGACGGCAAGGTTCACTTCTTGCAGCAAGGTCAACTTTCTGATGGCGGGCGGGATCTCCGTGAGTTTGTTATAGCGAAGACTGAGGACTTTCAAGGAGCCAAGTTCAAACAATTCTCCGGGCACTGATTGCAGAGAATTGCCAGTGAGGAATAAACGCAGGAAGGGTTGTAAGGAGCTGTAGACATCTTCGGTGATGGGAGGTGCGATGATAGCAGGGAGTTTAGTCAGGTGTTGTAAAGGCCGCAGTAAGCCAGAAGGTACAGTCCTCAGATAACAATTACTGCAAGATATTAGCCTGGTGAAAAAACAGTCGTGGTGGATATACAAACACACCTCAGGTCCACACTATCCTGTCCACTCTCCAAGCATTCATTCACGATATTCCGCGCGGCCTGGTGCTCTTTCGGTTCCTCAACCTTTTTCAGGCCACTCCGCTGACTCTGTGCCGTCCACCGGCCACCATCACGCATAGCGACATCAGCCCCGCTCCCTGTTCCTGCCGCGTTGCTTGTGTCTTTCAGCAACTCCTCCCCCCACATCGACGGATCCTCCGAGGGCAACAGGGACTCCGCCCCGGACTCGTCGCTCCCCATCCACACACCGCTATCCACATGTCGCTTCTCCTTGAAATCCGCCCGCTTCCGCTTCGGATCCTTCACCATCTCGCCCCACCAGGTGCCGCGGTATCGTCGTTTCCTGCTGCCGGAGGGGACGGGCGCATGGTAGTTCTCTAAGCCAGACGCGGGGATATCATCACTGGAAAAGAGCGCGGGGTCACTGGACGGCTGGCTGGAGCGGTCATCAAAGCGCGACAGCTGATACGTCTTGCGCAGCGACGAGCCGGACGCGACGGGGGTTTTGGTCGGGGAGCGATGCCGGATGCGCCGGGGCGGGGGCAGAGGAACCTCGTTATCCATGATGTCAGACGAAGGCCGTGACACGCCGGGGAAAAAAACAAGACGGACAGGACGCGCAGGAACGTGCGATCGGAACTGCTTTAATGCAGGTGGGCGCGTTTTGGAGGAACCAGATGAGGTACAATGGTCAAGAGAGGTATATGCGCAGACGACACCGTTTTTCTTTTTCGCAGATCGGATCACATCACCGGCTGCGCACCGGATCCATTGTGTCCGAAAGAATGCAGATCGTCCGACGGAAGAATGATTCCAGTGGATTTGATGGGTTGGACGTTTGGAACTTGTTTACTTGCAAGCCCCGGCACGCGTCCCCCACGCGACCCGCCAATCAGACTCGCTACTGATAACGGCCCACTCGGCTCGGCTTTTTTATCTGATGCGATCGTCTCCGCCTAGTCCATCTTACATTGATTTGTCTAGTATATTACTAGGAAGAGTGACTCTTTGTGAAAAAATAATAAAATACGTAGTCAACCAGTACGTTCTTTGGAATATCAATCGATCTATATACATCACGAACAGCATGCTGCAGTTCCATAGTGCGTCGCCTGTTGTATTGGATCGACTATTCGCAAGCAAACTGATTGCAAGAACACCGGCGGCCTGTAACCAACGGGTACATCAAACACCATCCACTCGTAACAAATCGCAGTCATAAGGGGTATATCAGCATATCATGTATCCTTAACACCCAGCTTCTTCCAGGTTGTCATCATCTTCAAGACAAACCTTTGGAAGAAGAGAAGGAAAGTATTCGGAAGAAATGGTATCACAGAAGTAAAGGGAAGAAGGGGGGAAAAAAAGAAAGAAAGAAAGAAAGTCGATCTGCCAGTAATGGGCTCCAGTAATCACTATAGCCGGTAATGATATCTGAAGACATCATGGCTGACCGTTAACAAGTCTCACAGCACTTGGTGAGGCTACCACTGTCGGACGATGGGATTACAGGTAGCCCAACAAGACAGCTACGGAACCAGCAACGAGCGCAACGGGCATGTTGGCGTCAAAGACTCCAGCAGCGGAGCTCAGAGTAACTGACGGGCTAGCCGTGCTGGCTGAGCTACCCGACGCAGTGCTCGCGTGGTGCGCATGGCTGGAGGCCACCGAGCCCGTAGAGGCTGCAGAAGAACCAAGAGGCGTGGCCGGCAGACTTTCAGCGGCAGTTTGGGCGGTAACACGGTACACCGTTTTAGTGATCGTATTTGTCGCCGTTGAGGTAACGGTGTCTGCAGCGACAAGCTGGGTCGCAGCGAGGCAGAGAACGGATGCGATGGTGGTGACCTTCATGATTTCGGCGCTCAAGCTGTGACTATAAAAGATCCGGTACGCGATAATAAAATGGCGAGTGCCTCTGAAAACTCGAAGGATTGGATTTGATAGATATCGCAATGCAGTGAATGATATATCTGCAGAGTATGAAAGGTGTTTTGCGCGAAGATTGGATGTGGCGCAAACTTGAGGGATCGAGTATGCAAACGGTAAAGGAGTGACGTTTGCAAAGCAAAGTAAAGCTGATGCGATCACAATGAGTGTGGGAGAGCGCTGCTCTAGGCTAAAGACCGTAAAGGGTACGAAAAGGTAAACGAGGTGCAGAATTTGCAGCCAGGAAGCAGAGGGAGGACAAGCCCTAAATATTAACGAACAAGTAGGTTTGACAAACACGAGTTCGACTGTGGCTTCGGGGTGATAGGTCCATATTCCCTGCTGTCGCTTGCCTTCAGCGAAAAGAATTCGGGAACCGATTCTCATCCAATGATGACCGTGCAAGGGACTCGGCTAGATGAGTCGACTGGCCATTCGGCGCTGTCAGGCATGCGCTCTTGACCGGTGTCTCACGTCGCCATGAAAGATGGACAACGGCCAGCATTACGCTTCGGAATCCACGGGAGGTAAACAAATCAGCGTGTTTCCTTTGATGGCCGCGGAAGTCAAAGAGCCACTTCCGAACCGACTGATTACCAAACTTGAGCAGTCTTTCAAGGGACCAACACAGCGGCGAATGACGTGGGGGGTCCGTGAGTTGGCGATGCTGCGGTCGATTGTTGGGGCTAGAACAAGGCTGAGTGCTTAATGATTCGCTGACGACCGGCGGTAGGGCGCTCACTCTGCAGGCGATTTATTTAGCTTCGGTTCCTGGGGCGTTGGTCAGGCACCAGAAAATTCTAATCCCGTCGTTTAATTAAACCGAACTGATGACTCGGAGGAAATTAGGGCTACGGGACAGAATCTTTGCCTCCTCATCCCGGCATTTTTCGTGGCAAACAACACGAGGAAAAACCTACTCGACAGGTAATACATACATACCACTTTGGAATTCAATAGAAATGGACATACGTACCTGTCCTCAAAAATGTGACGAACTCCTAACTCCAGTTTGGCGTCTACTGTGACCTTCATTGTTTCCGCAGTGTTTCACTTTCATTTCATTCTTCAAACCCTGGACCCCCTGTTTGACCCTGACTGTGAGACTCTCGAGCTCATCGGGGTAAACCAACAACATTCATTCATTCATTCATGATTTACAAAGATACATACATCGGTTGTGTTAGTGGTCACACCCTGCAACCAACAGCGTATAAATTTTCATCTGCTGTCTCATCTCTTAGTCAGACAAATCTCACCCAATGAGCTGAACTTTATTTGAGAAAATAATCATAAGTGTAAAAATAGATTCTCGTACTCGCTGTGTAGATCGACAAATGTTAATTATAGGTCAAGATGCTCTACACTTGACCGCTTCTCATTCAGCGACAGTAAAGAGATCGATCGCTCGGCACTTGGTCGCTCCGTTTCCAGTTCCTTGGTCTTGGTGCAGATCCACGTCGAGGCATACATGTTCACCCTTCTGCTGTCAGTACCACGTCTCTCACAATCCTCCGTGAAACTCAGAAAGTCAAACTTACCGGTCAATACATGTTCCCGGGAATCGGGCGCCGACACGTCGCGCAGAGAAGCCGTTCTCCTCAAAGTGTCGCACGTACCAGGGGTCGATACTAGCCGAACGGAGCAGTATACGACCGCCCATTTTCAAAGCGTGGTTCAGCTTCTGTGCCTGCACCGAGGCATCGTTCCCTTCGGGGTCGAACCAATCCATCGAGTCCATGACCTGAGACGAATGTCAGTCCAGTTGAGCGTGCTGTAGCCGATGGGGCGACACTTACCACGGCAATGGTTAGGCTGCCCGGTGTTATCCGTTTGATCACTTCATTGATCTCATCTGTGTGGATGCGAAGACCATCAAAAGCCCCCGGAGATGACAGCTTCACATGCGCTTTGGGAGACAAGTAGGTGGGGTGGCATCTGCCACGGTTAGTTAAGTCGTTATTAAGGTGCACCGAGAAATCTCACCTTCTGGAGAATTGCCCCTGTAGACACAGGAAGTAGAAGTAATTATCGTTGCTGATCAAAGTGTCCTTGACAACAGGGTCCAGAGTATCAACCACGTATTCCCAAATTGATTGGCCGCTGATGTCCTTGGCCTGTTTCATGTCGTGGGTGAGGCCGTTTCGCTTGAAGAAATCGTCAATGATCATGTTTCGCTGATTCCGAGGCACGCCTGCGGCCTTCCAAGCAAACCATTCGGTTCCGACGACAGCCCAGTGAAGAGGCTTGCTCATCAAGACCGAGCGGATACGCGGCCAGATTTCACGCTGCTCAGCTATTGTCTGGGCCTCGCACAGTTTTCGCACTTGCGCTTCCAGTCCGAAGACCTTGAAGAGGTAACGAACCATCTTAATTGCGTGGCGTGAGCCTCCAGTCTCATAGAGCCCTCTGCTGTATGAGGATGTGAAGATATGAGAATGCTCAAGCCAATACTGGAATGCTTGGCTTGAGAGGTGTGGGCTCAGTCGCGAGATGAGAAGCTGGCGGAATTCAGAGTGCTTTCCTTCGCCGAAGATCTTCCAGACATCACGGTGACCAAGGGCAATGAAGCTTGCTACCTTAAGTTCAAGGAGATGATTCTGGTTAGGATTCAAGTCAACGGCATGCACGCGTCGGGGGCTCTTCTGAAGATAGTCCAAGATGTTGTCCCCTGCGCTTGTGATTGCCAGGATCACGTCGTCTCGTTTAATGTCAAGTAGACGGTGATCTACGCGAGGGTCTTCCCAGTTAAAAGCGTAGATGTATTCGTTCTTGAACTGGGTGTGCTTGGGAAGCAGATCGTTGTAGAATATCCGGTAGTGGTGGTTTTGGTAGAAAGAGGATGGGAGGGGGAGGTTGGAACCCAGGTTGATGACGGCAGACTCGTACGCTTTGGAGCGTACCTCTTGTGCACTCAATTCAATGGCTTTATCCATCTCCTGACGATGGTTGGCGGGGGAAAGGTATGGCGATTCGGTGAAGGATGCATCCAGTTTTTCAATGGCCTCCCTACCAGATTGGCTCGAGGTGATATCCTTCTGGCATCCGACGAAGATGTAGTACGGGATTCCTCCGAGGAGGTAGTTTCTTTCACTGGCCGAGACAACCGTTCCGAATCGATATTCCAAGTAATCCCTGCGGGCAGCTTCGAGGCTCACACGGTCCACATCAAACCAAGCACGCCAGAAGACCCGGCCAAGCCAGTTGACATGGCGGTTGAAGGCACCCCCGGTGTAATTGCGGGACGAAACATCCACGATACTTTGAACTATAAGCTGTTAGTTTTATACATGTTGCGCATGATACATATGAAAGGGGGGGGGAAGATCCAGTTTGAGACAACGCATCGCGGACAATCAACATCGGGCACATACCGTAGAAATCACAAACTCCCAGTATTCCGGACGGCTTCAACAGCGCCGGGAGGGAGTCAACCACACTATAATAATCGGGGATCATAGACAGACTATAGCTCATGGTAATGAGATCTGCGCCCGGGGTGGTCTTCGTCCGTGGATCAACGCTATCTGCATCTGGCAAGCGGAAAGACCGTGCATCTTGACAGACAACGCTGACGTTCTTCCACCCCAGTCGCGCAAACCGTTCACGAGCTACCTGACAAAGAGAAGGGGAAAGGTCGACCAGGTAGACGTGGGAAAAAAACTCGTTTACGGGCAAGAAAGCCGACATAGCTTCGATGTTGTATCTGTAGAACAGTTAGAGCAGACAAGCATTGGCTTTTCGGCTGCGCTTACCCAGTACCACCGCCAATCTACATTGTCAGCAATGCCTCAAATAATTGCGGGAGATGGAAATGATCTTACATCAACCCAGACTGCCTTTCCAGCTTTAAGCTCCTTATTCTCCGCCTTAAACTTCAGCTGCGCTGCAGCCAGACCAAGCATGTCCTCTCGGCCACGTAGAAGGCGCTTGCGCGTGGCATCGTACGCACCGGCCTAATTATCTTTTAGCAATTGAGCTACAAAACCGTACGAAACTCAACAATGCGCACCTGTGTCTTGTAGAAGCTCTCCAAGGCATCCTGTTGGCCATTGCCAGTTTTGTCATGGGGTTTGAGGAATGTGGCATAAATAAAATTCACATAGGTCAAGAGGCCACCATCTTTGTTGAATCCGGCCTTCTGCTTTTGAGAAGATAATAAGAGAACGACGGCGACCAAGCCGCAGACAAGGAAAGCAGTGCCAGCGATGTAGGCATAGAGCCAGTCCATGCGGTTCGCGACACCGCCTAAGCTACTACTTAGGGAGGAGCTCATGGCGTTTCGGTGTGGTTGGAGAGAAGCTGATTCTCCTGTTCAAGGAGGGAGACAGATGAATCTGACACTGAAAGAGACCCAAGAGCGAGGACAGAGGGCCTTCTTGAATCAAATGCCTCCACCCGACTAGAACCGCGTTGAATGCATCGTTCTAGTGCCCCACCATGCCCCTCCATCCATTACAAAGGCGGATCCAAACGAAGGGATAGCAAGGTGAGGTCCTATCAGAAACACACATGGGCGTGGCAAGTGATAATCTACACCGGCTCAAAGGGGAATATGATCGATAGCCGCGGGAAAACGAGGATGAAAGCAGATCCTCTCACGAAGCTCCATTGGCTGCACGAGGCCTGAGGCGAATTATCGTCGAAGCAATTGAGTCCGACTAAGGACAATAAACTCCGAAAGTGAACGGGTCATTGCCTTCTCAGGCCGAAATTTAGCAACGACGCTGCCACTACTAGTATGGGCGACGGGGGATCTGTTCGTGGAGCTGGAGTACCGACGCAGAGGGATCCGATCCACCAGGCGCAACCGACAAGTCAGAGAGCTGCATGTCTGCATGTGTGGACATGCACTGGCCATCAGGGAGTCAAGCCCGAGGAAAGTCGTGGGGAAGAAATGCGAGCCAAATTACGGATGATGTTCGAGGTTCCTGCGTTGCATACTTCGGGTGCGCCAATCAGCGGGCGGTCTGCCGGCACACTTCCCCCCCTGGCGGATCCATTCGACCACCACCGTTATTTCGTTCATGGTATGCGAGGACGTTCTCAATATGCTTTCCCACTTAAACCTGCACGATGGTCAACTCGCACGACGAAAACTGAGCCCCGTGGTTTCAAATTGGATTGTGGTCGGGTAACTACTATACCATCTTTATCCTATACTTCTGGCAAGGACCCCTAATCTGAGTACTATCGGGTTTATACTTCTACCATGCGACGGACCACTTTTTTTCGGTATTGGCCCCAGGCCTTCCACTGAGCGAAGTCCTCCTGCATGGGCTTAGATTGAGTTCATGTTTTGCCACAAATACAGGGTGTGAGCGAAATATCGCATTCTCCGTGCCACTCTGCTCTCGACCGAATCCGACAAGACTGTCTCAGTGGAGCCCTCAATTAGAGTGCAATGCCAATATGGTGTACCGCGCTTAGCGGGTCAAACTTGTGAACTTCATACTCCACTCTCTCAAAGGTTGGATGGATACCTGAGCATGCCCTTCCCCATACCTCTGATCTTATTACCAGCTGAGACTACAGAGACTATCACTTGAATTTTTGATATTCAGAAACACCGTATATCTCAGAAGACCAAACAATCCTTCCCAGTGAACGAGGAAGTCGTCTATTCCGGAATCTTCACTACAGCTCTCCCATCAATCTCGGACCGTCCAAGTCGCATCACCACATCATTGATCTGATCAAGCTCAAAGCACTCAATATGGGCCCGCACGTCACCAGCGACAGCCATCTCCATCAACTCGTCCATCTCCTTTGCCGTACCCGCAGAATTCCCCACAATAGTAAGCCCTTTAACAATCATATCAAACGGAGTCGCTGGTAGCCTGAACGGAACACTGGGTATGCCCACGCACACCAGAACCCCAAGGCTGCGAAGCAATCGCATACTCTGCGCGTATGCCGGTTCACTATTGGCGGTGCAGATTACCGCATGAGCTCCGAGTCCACCTGTTAGTTTCTTCACTTCCTTTTCGATATTGTCGATCTTGTAATCAAAGAAAGCGGTGGCTCCGAGAGCAAGACACAGCTCCTTCTTCTTTTCGCCACTATGGAGAGTATTAGTGCGGATTGAACGATCGCTACAATGGTGAGGGGAAGTAGTACCTATCAATCGCAATGACTTTCAGTCCTTTTCTGACTGCAATCTGAACCCCCCTGGAAGGTTGTCAGCATTATTAAATTTGCATATCTCAGCAGGGGCAACAAACATATGTCCCAGACCACCACCAGCCCCCGGGAGAACGATCCAGTCGCCCGGTCGTGTCCTCGTCTTCATAATCGATGAGTACATTGCAATTCCCGCTGTAGAAGTCTCAGCACGAATAGAATGAACCTAGTACACTCGAAGAGCACAACATACCACACAGCAACGGCGCAGCTACATCTGGCGCAATCTCTGGGGGGATCTTCGTGACATGAATCGCAGGACTGACGATATACTCTTGAACCCCAGTTCATCAGCTACTTCACCCCACAGCATGCTCTGTGGCAGGCTCACTCACGCTGAAAAGTCCCAGGTACATTCTACACCGCAATCCACATCAGCACGATGTCCACCAACAGAGGGAAAGGCATTCACTGGGGGGGGGAAACATACCGCGCCCGCATTCTTCTGATACGGACACGCCGTATTGTTCACCGCGCAAATCTCACAGTTCAAACAGGAACTATACAGCCATCTACCATGTCACGTCCACATTAACACCGCCATGAAGCGACAATGAATCCAAAGAGATAAAACCACTAACCTAATCCCAACCCTCCTCCCAATCCACTCCTGCTCATTAACCCCATTACCCACTGAAAAAGACAATTAGCATGATCATCATATAATCAATAGCCAACTATCGTTCCAGGTCAATAAACAAGTAGAATTGACATGATAGTGCATACCCATAACAACCTTCCCCACCCCCTCATGACCCGCCACATCGGTCAACATCGGCGTTTCCCCACGAATACTATGCACATCGGAATGGCAGACCCCCGAATACTCGATCTTGACGAGGATTTCTCCCTCGCCGGGGGACGGCACGGGGTGGTCTGTTTTGATCTGGAGGAGGGCATCGGCGGTTGCGCCGGAGGGGGGGAGCACTGCTGCGGTTTGGGTTTCGGGGATGGCCGTCATGGTTAGGGTGGATATGCGGGGTTGCAGTGGTATAATTGTGGTGTTGTTGGTGGTGGATGAATAAGGAGGGGATAGGAGCTGGGCTAGTTACGTGGTTCGGAGGCTACTCGGGAGATCTTAGTGTCTATTTATATAGGTTCTGTAAAGAAAGTAAAGGGTTACATTGGATTGAAATGCGTTAATGCATCGGGGAATGATCTAGGGCTTCAAGAGGCGGGGTTTACATATATCTGGGCACATGATAGGCGGTTCGATGGTTGATAAGATCTGTTTCTTGATCGGGTAAGTCGATCCTGATTCCTTCAGTCAAGCTGAATATGGAGAGTGATAAGTATCTATTCACGCCTGGAGGTAACAATATTATCACGACAGTTCTTCTTAGAATAAGCATGGTATCCATGACTGAGTCTATTCAGCAGAACTGGTGTCTAAAGGAAAGCCAGCTAAAATCAAGAAATTTGAAAACAATGAGGTAAAGAGACCAAGCCATCTAAACTGTTTCCCTGTGGAAAAATCCCTCCAATTTGCTGTTTCCGCTAAGAGTTCTCTTCACCCCAGTGCTAGTAGCAGACGTTTCGAGCTCTTGCTTGGACAGAGACGCGGCTCGGCGGATAATCTTATGTATCATAGAAACGATTAAATTCCCCTGGCCAGATTCCCACTGGTAAGTACGTCTGCTCCACTGGAAAATCCCCGTTAGCTGAATCGGCGAGAGAATATGGTTAGATGGCATTCTACCTTTCCGCTATTGTCGAGATACAAAAAAGTCCACGTGAAACTGTCAGTGGCGATGCCATAGATCGAAGCATCCTTCCGCTGGATCTCCTTTCGCGCATGATGAAGCATCGCTGTTAACCAGTGAGCAAATCTATATACGCTCAATACACTATAGTAAAGCTTACCCATATAGGCCAATGCTTGGTAGTCGCCAGAGACCCCCTTCTTCTTTGCTTCCACCACCAGAAGATTACACTCCATCTCCTGCGGTGCTTGATACCAAAGGGAATAGTCCGTTGTACCCGAGACGATCTTTCGCTCGCCCTGATATGTCCATGGCAGCAGCATGTCAATCTCACACTGGAGGTGAACGGATAGGATCGATGAACTAGAATCCCGGGCACTGGCTCTCTTCTGGGCGGCTAGGCAGGTCAAGAGAATTGCGTCGATTCTGCATCTCATGAGAGCTTCGTTCTCGGGGGAGCCGCCCGTAGCAACTTCGTAATCCGCGAGAATATATTCTATTGTTATTAGTTCCATCCGGGGTTAGGAATTCAGAAACCAAAGCAAGCTTACTGAGATTTTCGGGGACCGTGCACAACTCATCTTGGGTGAATCTCCAAGGATTATCTTCTCCTCCTTCCTTGATCCCGAAGATGTTGGAGACGTCCTGGGGGTTGAGAGATGTGACGGTAATATGGGGCAATTGCTCCTTCTTGGACTGGATGGCCCTCCTGCTCTCAGTCCTCGCAATATTGAAGATAGTATCAACTTCCTTGTGGAGGGCATTGTCTTTTATCTTCCCCAAGATCTTTTTGATCTTCGCCTCAGCACGGCTCAGAACAGCCTCCATAGTGATAAATGGACTCAAGTTGATAGGTACTTTAGTCCTGGCTGACTAGAGCCTAGGTCGAGGGCTAGAACGTCCAAAGGGAGAGCTATTAATTATTTTCACTTCATTACATGTAAAGTGATAGTGCCTGGGTAGGTAGGTTCGGTTAGGTAGGCAGGCAAAAGGTTGACATCGTTGTTACGGAATACTTCCCTACCACCCATCCCATTCTATTGAATCATTTCTTCACCTTTTCTCCTTACTTTTTGCTTCACTCGTCTCTTCTGTTTCTCATTCACTTATATAATATGTGTTTCACAATGAGACACCCACGGCGCCACATCAGCAAAAAGCATAAAATGGAGAAGATAGAGGTCGAATTCATCAAGCAGTCTATGGATCGACTTAACCTACCCATCAAGACAGATAAGCCAGCCAGACAAGCTTTTGCGCATATACTTTGCAGGCTGAAGCTTTCCCCCAGTTCAGATGCCGAAGAAAAACAGGTATGGACAGTGGATCAGGAGAGTATGAGCGTTCAGATGCCGGAACATTTTGGTTTGCTTCTACGGTCAGTAGTTACGAGATCGCCATGTTAACTATCTTTAGGACAACTGATGACCGACATCGCCCTCGTATACTCCACCGAGGATACCAAGTCAAGCTCGATTCGACCCAAAGTAGACTGGGTTCTGCTGCAGCTGTCGGCTATCGTGAGGAGGATGCAGGATCAACTCTACATTGATTCATCGCCGCCCGGTGGTTACATTCACGCAGCACCGTACTGGCATTTCGAGACGACGATCACTGGATCTGGTGATCAGGCTTTGACGGCATCGGTGGACTACGTTCTGTGGTATGGGGCGTGTGGAGACTGGGACACGAACTTGGTGGTAGTTCGAAGCAGCAGTCGACTGGATGATGAATGCTGGGCAGCCCTCCCGAGCATGTCGATCGTTTATGCCGCCCGGAAGGTGAGGAAGTATAAGGGTGGCATCTATGGAGTCTGTACCGATGGCCATAGTTGGACCTTCTTGCACTTCAGCGATAGGGGCCGGGTAAGCTTTTTCATTTTTGGATGGAAGTCTGACGAAGTGAACTGATACAATGACAAATAGGTGTCCAAATGCTGTCTGGTATGGGATGATAGACAGGAAGTCCTCGGCCTACTATACAAGATTATCGGGCAGGCTTTCGACCTCCACAGAGCGCGAGAGCAGGACCAGGAGGCTCGGCGGCGAATGAGAGATGAAATTTTCCTCTGGGATGAGGATAAGGAGAGCTCTGGCGATAATGGTCGTAATGATGGTGATGTAGCCCCTGGGCGTTGGTGAAGATCCTTTGAAACAGCCTGGTATATTGCTTGCTACACTTGCTTCGTACGGTAGGTTCAGTGAATAACAGAATAGTCTGTCGTTAAAAAGGATAGATATACGGCACGTGCGACTTGGGCAATTGACAACATCTATAACGAGAATTACCTCATGAAAACCATTACTAAACTAACTCAATCTACACATGTATATATACCCTATATTTCCTAGTACCTAAGCCTCGGGTATTCTGATTCAACCTAACACCATAAGCATGCAACGCTTTGCGGGAAACAGACGCTGGGAGAAAGAGAGAAGTGAAAAACAGAATGTCGGTGAAGAGTGGGAAACCAAAACCGGGTATAGCAAAATGAAAGGAAGAATCAGTTCAGGAAAGACCCGCGTTGTTGCAATCTACACATCCCAGCGCCAACAGAGTATAAGATTCTTGGAAGGAATAGGGTTTCACAAAGAAAAGAATAAACAAAAAAAGGCAAGAGATATAGACCGAGATAAAGTATCCAGAATCATTCTGCATCTCGGTTACGCACTTCCCCGAACTTTCTGCTCCATTCGCTTCCTCGCCGCCAGGATCATATCGTCCCTCCGCTTCTGGAGGATACGCTGACGTTCCTCCTTGTTCTGTGACCAGCCAGACGACGGAGATGACTGAGTGGTCTCAGCGCCGTCGGTGGCGACTTTGCCGCTAAGGTTGTACCGCGAAATCAGGTCCTGACCTTCCGATTTCGATGCCGCGGAGGCGGCGGCAGTTTGTGCTGCGGGCGTACTGGCCTGGGGGATGGCGACCTGAGGCTGGAACGAGGGTGGCGGCTGTAAAGAAGTTACCCGTCAGCATACAGCTTACGCTGCGCGACACTCGCGCCACCAAAAGAAGCATATACTTACTGTCTCCAGTCCTCGACCTGTCAGGATGCGCTCCGTGGTTGCTGCGACGTTACCACCATTGCGCTGCAAGTCCCACATGATGTCGCGTGTGCTTAACTGAGGGAACATCTGGGATATTTGTTCCACTTGTGCTGGGTCGATGACTCCGCGCGCACGACTGCGACCGCTTCCATCACCTCCATCGCCGTCACGCTTGAGAAACCATCGGATGACGAAGAATGACACGACGGCGAGCGTCAGCAGCGAGGAGATGTTCAGGGACGGCTCCTCCTCGGGCATGATGTCGGGAGAGGGGTGAAAGTGTGCGTGAGATCCCGATTTCGCGACTAAGCGAAGAGTTCAAAAACACTGCCAGTAAAATGCCAGAAGGCCGTGCGAAGGTGACTGGCTTAAAAGTCGGGGATCGACGTGGGAACGCTTTCCGGGGAATGACGTCCAGGAGGCGGTCGGAGTACGGAGTATTTAATTCAGCCTTAGATAATAAATGTGGCGGTGGAAGACGTTCAGCCGGGCGCCACACTCGGGACTAGCAAATCAGCCCACCAGAGGTTCGTACTGATGGACGATGACCAGGGAGACAGGCAAATACAAAAGGAAAATGAATGACACGCTTTGGAAGGCTTTAAAATACGTGAAATGGGGGGTGAAAAGGTCTGAAAATGCAGACTGCGAGGTACGGAGCACGGAACTGGTGAAGTTGGACCTCCGAGTGATTATTTGCATTCTCGGGACAATTAATACCAGTCGGAAGTCAGCAACTTCCGCGGCTGTCGAGACTCGTCTCGCCCCATGGGAAAATCCGAACCATGGGACTCTCTACCGTCTCACTTTATGTACCCCCCCCTTATACCATCAGCGTCACAGAGGATCTTATGTCATGTGCATCATTATAAAGGAAGTAGAGACAAGAATGTAACTGTCACCAAAAAAGAATCAAAAATAAAAAGAAAAGAAGTTCATCCAGATCCATACACATCATCCCGGAAAAAACACCGTCTCCAAACCTCGGCCAAGAACGTGCCACATAATGCGCTCCTATCCCACAATGCCCAACCAAAAAGAAGACTGTGATATATGCATTCCACCCCAAATTCTAACCCCAAGGAGTACCATGAACAGATTACTTCAAGTCGGCAGGAGTCAAAGCCTGAACAACGCTCGTTCCTTCGCTGAATCGTGTCTTGAAGATACGGTTGGCGTTTTGGAACATGCCGTCCTTCAGTGACACGACGATGAATTGAGAACCCTTGAAGCGCGTCTTGATTAAGCGACCAATGTTCTGTGTATGAGACAGATCCAAGGCGGCATCGACCTCGTCCAGAATGTACATGGGTGCCGGTTTGAATTGCAGAAGTGCCATAATGAGGGAAAGAGCGATGAGGGACCTGTATACTGATTAGCCAAAATTCCGTGTGGATGATTAAGATGCTCTGCTCACCGTTGTCCACCACTCAGTTCTGTTAAGCTCTGTTTCCAAACCTTGCCAAGTTGCACCTTAACTTCCAGGCCATCAGTGATCTCCTTGCCCTCTGGAGGATCCAGCTTAGCGAAACTGCCGGGAAGAAGCATTGCGAAGATCTGACCGAAGTCGCCGTTGACTTTGGTCCAGGTATTGTGAAGAGCCTCCTTCTTGTACTCGTCCAGATTGAGAATGGTCTCTTCAATCTTACGCTTATCACGGACCACGGTCTTCATCATATTCTTCAGGGCAGCCTCCTTCTTCTCCACGCTATCGATCATGTTCATGACCTTGGGATTGATCTTCTTCTTCATGCCCTGAGAACGTTCCGTAAGATTCCGAAGGGTGGCCTTGCATTCGGCAATGTTCTGGTTCTTGAAGTCGTAAGGAGTGTTTGGACGGCCGAAATTATCTTTCTCATCCTCGATCCACTCATGTTCTTCCTCCATATGGGCAACGGTCTGAGCTGCAGCCTGTTGGTCTTTCTGTAGTTTGTCAAGCTGATGGCCGAGCTTCTGCAGATCAAGGCCCTCTTCGGTGATCTGTGAGTTCTTTGCCTGCATTGTCTGCTCAAGTTCTCGTAGCTCCTCATCAAAACCAGTAAGCTTAGCTCTTTCATCGTCAAGGTGGGCCTGGGCAATATCGTGGGCGTCCTATGACGGGTCAGCAACCGATTCTCAACTATAATTTCGGTTTTCTTTGTACCTTGATCCGTGCCTGTTCTCTTTTGAGCGATTTGACTTCTTCCTTTTGGGCATTCAGGGCATTCTCAGCCTCAGCGCTCTGTTCTTCGGCGGCTGAGAGATCACTTCCTACTTGCTCCGACTCCAGTCGAGACGCCTGTAGTTCTTTCTGTAAAGTTTTGACGGAAGTCGAATTTTTAGCGAGATTCTTCTTCAGGGAGTCTAGGGACTCCTGTAGTTCCGCCAGTTTGCTGTCTTTGTTGTCATTAAATTCACTCATGTCTTTTTCAATTCGCTTGATATCCTTGGATGCTTCCGTCTGACGAGCTTTTGCGTCGGAAATATCTTTCTTCAGTTGCTCAATATTTGCTTTCATCTCCTCGACAGCGTGAATAATCTAAGAGTGTCAGTTTCGTATCTAACTTTACAAGAAAAAAAAGAATGAAACTCACCGATGAGGAAGAGTTGCTACTGATTTGTTCTTCTGTAAGTTTAATCTCGTGAGTCTTGAGGTCCAGCTCCTGCTTGATCGTACGGACTGCGTCAAGCTTTTTCTTTTCCTTTCTCATCGTTTCTTCCAGAGTAGCAAGTAGTCGCTCCTTGCTCCGGATTTCCCTTGTGACCTCGTTTAATTTCTGCAAGGTAATGAGGACACCGCTCGAGTTCGGCGAACTACCACCAGACAGAGTACCAGACGGGTCGTAAACATCGCCATCCAGTGTGACACTCTTGATACGGACTGAGGGGTCGAAAGTCACCCTCTTTGCGGTGTCTGCATCGTTACAGATCAAGGTGTTGCCGAAGACGTAGTTCATAGCCGATGTAACTTCCTCATCGTATCCAATGAGCGACAAGGCAAGGTCTACCTTTCCGGGAGCAATGTTTTGCGCGGCCCCGATCTTCTCGGCAGAAGCTCTGAATGATGAGATCTTGTTCAAAGGAATAATTGTCACACGCTTGCGCAGCTTTCCCTTCTGGAGCAACTGCGTTCCGGTCTCTGCGCTGTCGACAACAACGTTGTACAAGCGGCCACCAGCACAGATCTCAAGGGCCGTAGAAGCTTGGAGCTTTTCTTTGTCGAGCGTAAAGAGCTGAGCGACCAAGCCCTTGACCTTAGATCTATCAAAGTTCGGATGTGGGTCGGCATATTGGAAATCAATATTCGCAACCTTCCTTTGAAGTCCATCGGCTCTCTGGCGTAGCTCACGGATTTCTTTCTGCAAAGTCGTTTGCTCCTGGTAGAGCTGCTCCTCTCTCCCTGGTTCAAACCCAAGTCTTGCCAGTTCCGCATCCAGTTTCTTGGCTTGGGACTTGAGACCCTCAAGATCCTTCAAGAGACCCGTGTTCTGCTCCTTTGCTTTCTTGGCTCTGGGTTCCTCTTCCTTGATTCGCTTTTCCAAGTGTGCAATCTTGAGCTTTGCTTGTTCTTGTTCAGTGGCCGCGCCACTGGCGCGATTACGAGCGTCCTGTAGTTGACCTTGATAACCACTTTCCTGACCATCTTTCGAGGCCACACCCGTCTGCAATGTTTGGAGCAGTTCCTCCTTCTGTTCGACTTCGGCTGTTTGCGCGTCTAGTTCTGCCTTTGCAGCATCATATTGTGCTTGTAACTTATCGTAGACCTTCTTCTTCTCCTTAAGGAGCTTCTCCAGATCTTTGACAGTTTGTTGCGCTTCCTTGTGTTTCTCCTTTTCTTCTGCAATGCTAGCATTCTTCAAATCGAACACCGTCGTCAACCGGACAAGTTCGTGAGAGTGAGTCTTAACCTCATCCTCAAGTGCCTGGAACTTTCCGCCTTTCCGCAATTCCTTATCGCGAGCCGCTCTCACCCGCTTCACATCCTCTTCCAAGTGAGCTATCTCACTCTTAAGCTTGGTCGCATTATCCTCGATCGCTTGCACCTTGCGCTTTTTGCTCTCGAATTCATCACCCGTGACCCGTAACCGCTCGTTACTGCGAAGATAGTCGTGGGCAACAACCAAGCGAGTAAGACGTTCCAGGTCATTCTGAGTCTGTTGGAAATCCAGGAAAGCACGCTTCTCGGAGCGGAGCTTCTCGAGTTTGGGTTCGATTTCCTCATGAAGGAGGCCTTCGATTTCGCGCAGCTTCAACTCCTTCTTGCCCATCGTTTTAGCCGCCTTTTCCCTTCGATCCTCAAACATTCGTGTACCAGCCGCCTCCTCAATCATAGACAGAATCTCGACCGCCTTCATATTCAGCACCTTCGTAATCCTTCCCTGCATAATCAAGAAATTGGGATTGTTGATATTCAGCTGCACGCTCTGGAACAGGTTCTGCACGGTCTGCTGCTGCGCACGGTGGCCGTTAATCAGATATTTACTCGTACCACCAAGAACAATCTGTCGAGTTACGGAGATATTCGCATATTCTTCGAAACCGATCGGGGATTTGGCGGTGTCCCTATTATCGAAGACGATGGTCACACTGGCTTTCGTTACACCGGCCTGGCCACGCTTGTAAATCAGATCTTGCAGGTTTTGCGCGCGAACGGTCGACATGTTCGTGATACCGAGGACGAAACAAATAGCATCAAGGATATTGGATTTACCACTGCCGTTCAGGCCCGTGATGGAGTTGAAAGACTCATCCCTATTATAATCTGGTTAGCGCTCTCGCTGCACTCCGCGGGTGATCTTAACAGGCATATGAGGATAAATTGCCTCTATCCAACTCGCTCGTTCGGACTGGGTCAGCGCATACCATCCTGATATAACCGTACGCACGGCGTATGATTTGAAACCCTACCACTTCCGGTTAGCATTCTCAAGCTCTCGTTGGCATCGCTGTGCATAAGGAAGGCTTACGTCGATAACGACCTCAGTAATCCTCATGATTGCGACTCCAGAATCAGCCCCATCAACTGGATAACCAAGTGCATAGGAGAACGCTGGGGACTGATAGCGCACAATTGAATTGGGCGGTGGATTGTTTTGGCGGGCGCCGTGTTTTTGCGGGCGGCATCATGTTTATTGTTTGCTGTTTTAGGCTTGGTGGCCGCTACGATGATGTAAGCATGAGGGGTCAAGCTGGCTGAAACGGGGGCCAATCAGAATTGACGGTATCTACTACAAGGAACATCATCCGCAATTGTATGAAATAGGCTATGTGCTAATTTGTACCTTATCCAAGAATCGGTGGATGGAAAACAAAAGTTCAAAGCAAATCAGAGGAAGACATCCAATAACCAAACAGCGCAAGATTCTCGCTAATTGAAATCCATGTTTATTCATGCCAGTCAACGCCGTGTTTTGCAGCCTTGACACCAAAGAGAAGCCAACCGCATCAATCACGTCCCGGTAATAGCCAGAACATTCTACTGAAAGGAGAGATGCAAAGGCAGCGAGGCCCAATGGTATCTCAGCGTCATGATACGAATAGGGTATGAAAATATGCAGAGGACAAAAGAAACATATACAGCCATGGTCGTGATTATGGGATGGTAGGATATAGAGATAGGGTGGAGAGAGCACGAAAGGCTCAGTTAATCGTCACTCATCCTATCCGCCTCTTCAACACTCATCTCACGATCTCCGGAGATAGCCTCCTTATCACCCTCTTCAGGTGACTCGTGCTCATCGTTCGCACCCTCTGGTGGAGGGGGCATCGTCTTTGCGAACTTCGGGTCAATGGCTGCCCTATGCAAAGAGCGCTTGTATACTTCCGCCTCATCCGGATCGCGAACAACAACTTGTATTTGGTCAACCTGGTCTTCCTTCGTCTTAGGGCGGGTAGGAGCAAGGCCTGCCTGTGCAATAGTGCGGGCTCTCTCGGGCTTCAGGCGGGTCTTCCCGAGAATGGGGTAATAGTATGCAGCCTTCTGCTTCGAAGACATATAATCTTCCTTCGCTTCTGACGGATTGAAAAGTGTCACCGCAATATCTTTCTGCTTGTTATCACCACCAAGCGTCTGGGCGCTCGTGGCAAAAGTGCGCATGCGATCGAAACGGTGGAACTTCGAGTTATCAGAACCTTCGTGCGTATAAAGCTCCTCATTGTCACGGTTGGGGTTATATATTTGTAAGCTTGCGAGAACTTTCTTGATAGAATCCTTCTTCTCAGGGAGGAAGAGATCATAATCCCAGGGAATTGGGCCAGGATCAGGGTACAGCTTGGGGTTCGTCTTGTGCAGAGCCACTTTCGTCGCATGCTCCTCACATACGCGCTCCTCTGGCGCGGAGGGAAGCAAGATACCGGTGTCCATGCGCCTATCACGCTTTCCAGAGGCATCTTGAACAGGTGCTTTGTCAAACTTGAATTGGACGAAACCGCCAGGGTCTGGGAATCCTTGGAGGTCGGGCAGGAGAGGGTAAAAGCCGACGGGTTTCAACTTAGGGTTGTCCGGATGCACAGGACTGGCCCATGCATCAACTTCAAGTTTAGTGGGCGTGTGCCCTTTGATTTGGCTGGGCGTGTCTTCCCCAACGTGCTTGCTTTCGGGGTATGCAATATCGAATCCCTTTTGTATGTATTTCTTGATGTAAGCCGGGTCGTCCTGGGATTTAGCTTTTTCAGCTAGACGGGATTTCGATCGCATAGGTGTGACTTTAGGACCATCCGGTGCTCGAAGACCAGCCGAAATGTACTGTGTGCGACGAAGAAAACTAACGTTCGCATTCCGCGGTGCTGGGTTCTTCAGCTGGTCTAAAGTCATCAAAAGTGGAAGGTCGGCGGGGTCAATTGGGTCTGGATTCTCGGGTGCCATGATCGCTGTAGACATACACTCCGTTAGCCATGTCATATCGTGAAGCGCTCGGTGAAGAAGTTACATACCACTTTCATCGCCCAAGTGCAAGCCTGGGATGCCCACCAGGTCAATGGGCATACCGCCCTCAGCGTCTACATCAATATTTGGTTCTTCACGACGTGCCAAATTAGAGGCAAACCCTGGCGTTAGGAAACGCTCTAGTCCGTCGTGTGGAATATCAAGGAACTTCGGGGGCATATCAGGAGGAGGAAGGTCATTCCGATAACGCAAGGACGCGATATACTCCTGATGAAAACCCCCGGAGGAGCTGCCATCCTTGCTCTTCGACATATTCGAGCTACCAATATCGGCCGTCTCTTGAGCTTGTGTCTCAATCAAAGGTGGGGAAACCACTGTATAGTAGGCTGGTCAGTAGCAGCTCCGAATCTATTTGCGACATTCTTTTGCACTCACATGGAGAAGAAAGGGTAATATCAGGAATTTCGGTATCTGAAACTATGCGATCAGTCGAGCCGCGATCTTTAGTTTCAAGAAGAGCAAGCTCTGAGAAGATTGGACAGGTTTAAAATGACCTCGTTTCCAGCTTTATCAAAAACAGACTACATGGACAAACTTACTTGGGGTTGGAGGATCCATTCTGCACTGTTTCACCGCCTTTCAGTTAAGGTTTAGTGTGGTTGGGTAAACTACAGGCGGATCAATGTTGGTCCGAGGAGGTATATATTGTAACTTGGATGTCGACTGGTCCTGAGAATAAGTGAATTGTTGATTATAATAAGACCCATGGGCTACTCTTGCTTTCACTCATTATGTATACAAGTGCATGCACTTCATCCAAAGTGAATTGTTCCATGCATAACCAATCATCTAAAGTACAGATCCATCTAACAAAGGCATCCCGTAATGTCAATACCGTCATTCAGAGTATAAAGAGAAAATGATAGCAAAGAATATCAAAGGAAAGAAAGACATAGAATCAATAAGCCCACATGCATTTGTAGGCCATCAGTCTATGACCTAGCCGGTCGTACTCCAACTGTCCAATCCAGCTGTCATTGGTTCCGCTCAACTTCCCGAATACGCTTGCGCCCTTCCATACTACCACCTGAGGATCAAGATCTCGAGGAGGGGTGCCAATCATTATCTCCTTAGCAAATCCAGGCCGAAGTGCCTGCAATCGCTCCTCAAGGAACAAGTGAAACCCGTTGATCAAGCTTCCGCCTCCAACAACCATGATACCGCCAAGGAAGTCTCGCATTTTACGTTCATCAGACCGAGCAGCATGGGCAATAGACATAAGGATCGCACTGTCAAGTGGGAACGTTGGCAGTATATCATCGCGTTCTTCAACTGTCGGTGCACGGGGCTGCGATGTGCTTTGACTTTGTCCACCGACGGCAGGTGTACCAGCACCACCAGCTTGAGGAGTACTAGCCACCTCTGGTGCAGGAGATCCGGCAACGGAAGATCGGGGAGTAGCCTCTGTCTCTTGTAGGCGACTGAGGGCATTTACTTGCTGGGAGCGGCTCGGAGTGGACTGCACATCCAGAGTACTGGACTGAGTGTCGCCATTCACCTGGCCACTGATAGGAGGAGCAATGGCTGTTAAGAGCTCTGACTGCGCTGCAGATGTTGGGTCGTTCGGTTGGCCGTCATAGATGTCGACTGAACGGGATATCAATTCCCTTCGTCCGTTGAGCTTTAGTGAATGGTCGAAAATGGATGGCTGGAAGTATCCCATGGGCGCCAGGTGTACCTCATCGTAAGCTTTGAAGGTGTACTTTCTGGTGTCCTGGCCGGCGACACGAAGGTGGAAGTCGAACACTTGTACTGAGACACTGGCTTCATTCATGGTACAGATGTTCTTTTTCAGCTCCTCGGCAAGTAGAAAGTCGTACCGACGCCATAGATTGATGTCCGCATAAGGGAAATGATCGTACAACATCATTTTGACGAATGCTTCCGTCACATCCGATCCGCCGTATTTGAGATTCACACGCGAGTTCTCTATGCACATTCCTTCCTCCACGCAGCAAATCGAAGTCTTCTGCGCACCGATGTCGACCACACAAGCCGATGTAAACCCCGCCCCAAATGTAGCAGCCAAGCTCTCCTGGATGAAGCAGACGCGGGCAAAGGAAAATTCCCGCATAAGCATTTCAAGAACTTGGGTGACGTAGGACTTCTCATAAAGATCTGGAATGACAAACACGCATGAGTACTGTAGCCAGTCCTTTTTACTTGTAAGGCCCAGCTGATTCTTGATTGCATCTTCAAGAATCAACGAGATATCCAGGAATAAGAGTCTTTTGCTATTGTAATCACGCTCGTTACACCATCCATACTTCATTGGCCAGTAGAGCTTGTAGCGAGGTGTCGACGCATCTGGGATCCTCAAAGCTGCCTGGCCTACTATATACTCCGGCGCGGCGTCCGGGATTTCTGTCCATTCAACCCGCATTGGGTCATTGTGTTCTGAGATCGTCTCTGGCACAGTTCTTCGGTTGTAGTTGATTACCATTTCCTTGGAGTTCGGGAGGGTCCTGCGTTTGTTTTGCCGCATGTGTGTTTTGAGTTCCGCGGCCATCGTAGTGTACTGTGAAGAGAACTATGACCAGAAAACACACAAAATTAGACTAAGGCTGCAACGAAGAGCACACGAGAACCAACCTCAGAACCAAACATTTTCTCTGGTTCCAACTCGGAGCCATCATCCGTTTTCAATCGCTTAGGGCAAGGCTCTTCGCGGTCCTCGGACTCGCTGGTTGTAGACTTCCGCGCAATGACCATCGGAACGGTTTTCGGTAACGCATCACTGGCAAGTCCGATTCGCAGATTCTGGCTGCCAACATGTATAACAATGACCTTCGAGCCAATGGCTTCTGCTGTAGCCTCCTCTGCATCCTCCATGTTGGTATCGCCATCGTCAGCATCGGCTTCTGGGATGCCGAGGTCATTCGCTTTGGCCATAGCTAGAGCACGGTCCCGGTCTTTGGCCGTTTTGGCCATGCGATTTCGCGCTTCTTCATTCTGTAGTCGAAACGCCAGATACTGGTCATCTCTCTTAAGGTAGTCACTGGAACTTGTTCAGTATATTGTCCGAACAGGACGCTACGGAAAGCGCCATGGTGTAGGCGAACCACGTACGTGTAATAGTTCTTTTGGTTGATGGGAGGGATCTGAGGCCAGCTCGATAATTCCATGTTGTTGTCTGTTCTTTCAAGGCCTAGGGAGCATCCGACCGTTAGCGCATTGCTCTCAACAATGTGCGTCTTGCTTTCCCATGGCACTTGTAACCATCCATGCACAATGATATTTGGTGAGCATACCTTCATCCCGAAGGAGGGCCTTTCCAGATTTCTTTCCAACCATGGTGTGTTATTTGGCGATATCAGAGATAGAGGGATGACTATGGACGATGTTAAGTTGGTTCGGGACGTAATGCGGCGCTGGTCGCAAGCCGATCGCAGGAAGTTCTTCAATTCGGGGGGGTTTAATTCTAGAGATGGACAATCGGAGCGGACACCATCGGGGGTGGTTGGTGATGTTGTTGGGAAGAAGAGAAATAGGAGGAAGAGGTAATTTATTATAAAAAAAGGGTTGTAACAATAACGGCAGGTGAGGATGGAATGGAACCTGCGCGGCAATCAATTCATGTTAATTCTGCCACTCGCAATGGCGCAGGGTCTCTCCATCCCCATGACCCAAGAGAGCGAGAAAGACTGAGCTTGGGCCAACACCGATCGGCGCCGCAGCACATCCGCACGGCCAATCGTTGCCACAATCCAGAAATCCCTCCCATTCATACAACATTTAGTCAGCTATTGCTTCTGTGTTGTTCGTCGTTATTGCTATACCGATTTCCCTTTTTCCTTCGTCAGTATCGCACCACTGAACTGTTGGAAAACCACTCGTGAAATCCCCGAATTGATCCTATTGTCCATTCATCCCGATTCCGTGAACATCTACGCCGTCAATCCGGCCAACACCAACCACTTCACACCTCCGCAACCTCCCTTGAGCCCTCCCATCTCCGATTAAGGGTCGCGTTGTCTGGTTAAACAAAAACGCCAATATGGGTGGTTCATTGTCGCGTCTATGGTCCTTCCTCTGGACAAAGAAGGAAATCCGTATTCTCATCTTAGGTCTCGTACGTGACTATAGTCTTACACTAGGCATCAGTGAAATTCGAGGCTAATCCACGATATGGTGCAGGATAATGCTGGAAAGACTACACTCCTGTACAGAATGAAGGTATGTTGTAATACGACTCTCCGAATTAAAATATGTTACACGAACGCTATGCTGACGATCGGTTAATCTCATAGATCGGCGAGGTCGTCACGACGATACCTACTATCGGTTTCAATGTTGAGTCGGTCACATATAGAAATTTGAATTTCAACGTCTGGGTAAGCATATTGTGATGAGCATCTCAAATATGCCAACGACAAAGTGAAGGGATGATGGCTGATACCTTTTTCTTCTATTTTAGGATCTTGGAGGTCAAACATCGATCCGGCCATACTGGCGATGCTACTACGCTAACACCGCTGCTGTTATCTTCGTCATCGACTCTACAGATATTGAACGATTGGGCACAGCTGCAGATGAGCTTGCGGCCATGTTAAATGAGGAGGAACTTAGCGAGGCCGCCCTGCTGGTATTCGCTAACAAGCAGGACCAGCCGGGCGCCAAGGGAGCTGGAGAGATCTCGGAGGCTCTGAAGCTTGGCGAACTGCGAGACAGAAACTGGAGTATCGTGGCGTGTTCAGCTATTGATGGTAAGGGTCTTAACGAAGGCATGGATTGGTTGGTGGTGAGTACCCACTGTTTCCTCTCAAGTTTAACGCCTTTCGTTCCAGTCAAACTAATATATCCGTTGTACAGCAAACACTTCAATCAGAAAACGCATAAGCGCTGGCGTCAATGTGTCATGCAATAGATTTTGGTTTTGGTATATCTCCTCGACCGTACATGAGTGGGCTTCTTAAACGTGCGTTCACCGCATCTGAAAAGCTCGCCCTTCTTCTTCTTTCCCATTTTTCAATACTCTGTTGGGGAGACAGAGCTTATGTCTTTATACTGTATACCTCTCTTATCTTTTTTAAACCTAAACTTTGAAGACTTAGCATAATATCCTAATTGATGTTCCGGTGGTATCTAGAAGTGCGAGTCCCGCCGTTTTAGCGCAATGACCTGGATAGGCAATATGTCGTGTGCACTGAATTTGACTGTTGAGTTGTGCAGCAAAGTCGACATTTCCACACGTAACTATAATGTGTAAACAGCAGTTGAATAGACTATCTAGCATACTCGTTCGTGAGACGCACAGTGGTAATCCATAGGTATACCCTCGGGCGGGTTATAGGTCGTATTTCTAAGTGGGTATATATGAACAAAAGTTAAATACATTAGCTGACCATATTTAATCATTCGGTTATCCAACATGTAACCATCTATCATGGATAAATCGTAACACCTCTTTCTATTGAAGTTGCTGTCTTGATGCTGAGGATATTCCTGGAAGATATCTCCCATTCCTCATAAGCTTCCAAGAGAGAACTTCACCGTGGACAACGAGGTTGCACTTCTCGCAACAAGGCCGTGGCCTGGCCTATTGCTAATCAGGCCGTAGGAGAATCAAATGCCGAGATGCCGAAACCTCAGCTGTGAAGCTAAATGAGCAGACCACGAAAGATGCGTCCTTTAGAACTCCATATCGTCATCGTCGTCTTGCGTAGCGTCATATCCACCATTGGCCATATCTTCTGCCATCTGCTCTCTCCGCGCTTGCTCTTTTGATGCACCAATCTTTCTGTTCAGTAAGTTTTGAGGTTAGCAATGAACCATTCGTTCTGTTCCGGCAAGGTGGGTGGTTAGCCTACCTTAGTCCATCGACAACACCAGCAATGAACCCTCTTCCCTCTCCAACCTCCATCGCCCCGACACCGGTTAGTGCTACTCCACCCCCACCAGTGGAAGCAGCATCTAGCGCATCCACGCCTGATCTTATCTTAGCTGTTCGCACCTCACGCAGTTCTTTCAAGAGCCTCCGGGTCTGGTCCGGGTCCACTAAGTCATCACTAGCAGCGTCAAGAAGCATTGTTCCAACCTCTAGCCAGTGAAATGGCAGTGATGGAGCCTCGCCAAATGGAATATGGTCTTGCGCGACATTCTGGGGGAGAAATGGTGGTGCTGGGTAGTACCGTCCGCCATCTGGGGTATAGCGAGGCATAGCGACAGGTCGTTCTCCGCGATCTCGAAGGCTTGGTTGGCCTGGAAGTGGAGGCGGCGCGGAGAATGCATGCTGATACTCGTGGTGTTGGGTTTCAATTTCGAGGATGAGAGAAAGAGATTCTGGATGGAGCCATGGCGGAGGAAGGATATTTGCGCGGCGTTGGCGTTTAAGAAGGAGAGCCAGCCAAAGGGGAAGAGAAGCGCGCCGAGGTGGCAGGAGAGGCTCAACGGGGCCCTGATCCATCATGTTAGATGTGTATAGACCTCCAAGTAGACTGAATATTGATTTGGTATATTCTTTCTTCTATCAATACTGCCCCACGGTCTCTTGTCATTCATTGGGTTGTTTTGCTTGGTATACATGATTCAGATGGGTAGGAGACATATTACTCAATATAACATGAGTGTAGAACAATATACTTACCCCGAGAAGCTCCAATCCCTCCAAGCGTTGACGAGGAACGATGGTGACCATCTCCATTTCAGCAAGAAAGGATATCTCCGGGGGCGTAATGCCCCGCGGGAGGGGAAAGGCCATTGGCCGTCAATATTTCAGAGAACACAGGAAAAACAGCTTATCGGGATGCACAAGACCTAGCGACAGTCGTTCATATCATTTAAAACGTTCAGCAAAGAAGACAACGATGATCGTCGAAGCGTCTAGACCATGGATAAAGCTGGGGATATAGAATTGCCCAATGCGGTGGGTGTTTGTTCTGTTTGCAGGATTTATGTCTCCGCGGTCAATTTAATTTATTGACGTACTTGCTTCATGATTCCACTCTTTACTTCAATCATTCCAGCTTCATGGTCAATTGGTCCAAGTCAATACTATGAGCGCCGTTCAGCCTCAATCGGGCCTGGTTCTTGCCGCCCGCTATGCGGTTCCTTTTGTTTTACTCTCAATACCTGTATGGATGAATCGGGTCAATGCCGTGGTTCCGGAGCCATATCTGGATGAAGCTTTCCATATTCCTCAAGCTCAAGCATATTGGCATCACAAGTGGACGCACTGGGACCCGAAAATCACTACGCCCCCTGGACTCTACCTCTGGTCGTATCTTCTTTGCGCTTGCGCGCTTTTGCTTCGAGGTTCCCTGACGGAGCTCAATGCGGAAGCACTCCGTTCAACCAACGTTGCAGCCGCCACCATCTTCCTGCCCTTGAGATTACAGACCTTGCTCGATAGTCTACGCAAAGAACGCAATACCCGTCCATCCGGCGCATGGCTAAGCCACACTGTGCTGAATATCTGTCTCTTTCCGCCGTTGTTCTTCTTCTCGGGCCTCTACTATACCGATATCCTTGCCCTGTTGGTCGTAATTGAAGCGTACAACTGGGACCTTAAACGATCGACTCCAAATGCCTCCGCTGGCCAGACTTTTGTGTTCATCCTTCTGGGGGTGGCTGCGCTAGCCTTTAGACAGACCAACATCTTCTGGGTCTCGATTTTCTTCGGCGGATTGCAGGTCATCCGGACATTGCGGACTTCGGCCAAGACATGTCAGTCATCGAATCTTGCGGATATTGCCAAAGGAGGCTTCAAGAATGAATTGTATGACCCTCAGGTATCAGAGGCTTCGTTGGCAGGTGGGTTACCTTGATCTCATGGTATATATCTTGCTAATGGAGCTCTAGATTATTTTAAAACTGCCGTTTCCCTCTGTTCTGCTGCGCTTGGTAACTTGGGACAGGTTGTTATCTCCTCAATCCCATATGTTGTCATTCTTATGGCCTTCGGAGGTTTTGTGTTGTGGAATAATGGGGTTGTCCTGGGTAAGTTCAACGATGATCTACTTGTATCCAGTGTCTCATAAATCTGTTAGGACACAAAGAATTCCATACTGCGGGCTTGCATCTGCCTCAGATGCTATATATCTGGCCTTATATCTTTTTCTTCTCGTGGCCTATCCTGATTTCACCGGTTGCAAATATGATCCTACCCAAAATCTCTCTGCCCAAGTTCATGCACTATGGCTTTTCCGAGAAGCAGACGGGTCTCCCCAAAATTTTGACATTTCTCACGATCGTCCCTGTTATGCTGGCCACCGTTCACTACAACACTATCGTCCACCCCTTCACACTCGCCGACAACCGTCACTATGTCTTCTACGTCTTTCGCATTCTTCTTCGGACTCATCCAGCTGTCAAATATGCCGCGACTATTATTTACTTCCTCTGCGGTTGGGCGGTTGTTTCCGCCTTTGGCTTCTCGACTACTGCACCGCCGCCTCGATTCGTCCAAGCTCCACAGCCCACGCCGGCCTCCCAGCCATCTGTTCCGAAAGGTCAAAAAGCCCAAAAACAGAGCGACAGCAAGAAGAAGCCTTCTAGGAAAGTCACTCAGCCTCCCAAAACCCAGCAGTTAACACCGGAAGCCTTCGCGAGAATCCAAGAGGCGATCAAGCAACGCCAGCTGCAGCAACCGAATGCGCCGCGAGTCAGCTTTGTCCTTGTCTGGCTTGCCGCCACGGCTCTCTCACTTATCACTGCGCCGCTGGTTGAGCCACGATACTTCATAATCCCCTGGGTAATGTGGCGACTGCATCTCCCCCGGCAGCCCACGCCGCTTGTTTACCGGGAGCAGCGTCCTCAGAATGCGAAAGAAGCGCTCCATGCGAAGATCGCCACCAACTTCCCACTATTCGTGGAAACCTTCTGGTTCCTGGTCATCAACGCTGTGACCGGATACATTTTCCTCTACAAGGGTTTCGAGTGGCCCCAGGAGCCTGGCAAGATCCAACGGTTCATGTGGTGATCGCTTTTTATCTCTTTACCTTCTTCAATTGTTTTATTATTAATTGAGCAGTTTCGCACTGTGTATATAGATTAGAGAAAGCCTGTATCATTATAAAATTGCTGTATATTAGAAGTTTTCATCCCTTAGTGATTATCCACGTATCACATTCAACGGATTGGTTCACAATACCCGGTGTCCTCAACAGACACTCGATTATTCGAACAAGAGAAACCCCAAAGTTTTATCTGAATCCACGTTGAACATCGACAAGCCCCGGGGCCACCAAATTCGATTCACCCCTAGTCCAGTCACCATCCAAGTAGAGAAAAGACGTGAATATCTATGGACCAGCCTATATGGCAAAGACAAGTACTAGGAGGTCCTACCAAACTCAAAGCAAGTAAGTAATCGTAGTTCATATGAACTTGAAGCCTCGGACTTTTCTTTCTTGAGACTGTAGGTGGGTTACCATACAAAAAGCCCTTATCTCTAACTCTCTGTTTGTCTCTATGGATGGTGGTACTTGTTTGCTGTCGGTGGTGAGGGAGCTTGTCTTTTGAAAACATTAGGAGTTTCACGGCGTGAGGTCGAAGGAAGGTGTGCTAGCGAAGATGGGTATACGGTGTATCCCTTACAATGGGAGTTAGGAGTATTAGGAACGGGGTAGTAGGTAGACACTACTGTTTACGGATGTGAATACTGGAGCTGGAGATGATGCCCTAAAGACAATCTATATTGATATGGTAGATGATGCTCTAGAAGTATGGTTATGAGTCTGTGAGTCACATCCAAAACACTTATAATAATACACAATAAGTAGCTTGTTTGAAAGCTCTTGTTTACTTCTCTCAGTTTAAGCATCTATGTAAGTTTATAATATTTAGCTATAGATATACTAACTTGAAGATGGAATGTGACATCCACCAAGCCTTGATCGGGTAAGTATATACATCTCGACGCAGCCGAGCGAGAAACAGGTCTTAGCGAGTGGCGACAGACCAAACACAGAAAAGACCAGAAAGAACTAGTAGTCTTCATCCTACACTATCCTGTAAACCCCAATATTATCTTTTATTCAATATTCCCCCATGCCACTACATAGAACATGCACCTCTATCCCAAGACTTGGCATGACGCGTGGCCTGAGGCTCCATACATTGTATCATCAACAAATAGCAACCACCTCCTGGCCACAACAGCACCACACAGGGCCCGAACGAACAACAATGGCTGGCGATCAGCCCGCAAAGCGCATCAAACTATCCTCTAGCACCCCCGTAGAACCCGACAATAACGAATCCTTAAAGCAGAGCCCCCCCATCCAAGGGGGACTAGCATCACTCCACCGATCCATCACGCCCCCATCTCCACCATCCCGGAGATCCCAAAGGAGATCCCAATCGCAGTCTGTGCCGGCTGCTCAGCCTACAGAAGAAAGCAACCCAAAACAGCGTGTGCTACCCTCCCCATTCCAGCTCACGCATATCCGCGACCTCGCCGCGTCTTCAGACAACAACGTAGACACGGTGCGACTGCGCGATGTGCTCGGGGATCCGCTGATCCGCGAATGCTGGCAGTTCAACTACCTGCACGATGTGGATTTCATCATGAGCCAGTTCGACGAGGATGTGCGGCGTCTGGTGAAGGTGAAGGTTGTGCATGGGTCTTGGAAACGGGATGCGCCGAATCGGGTGCGCATCGATGTATGTTGTTGTATCCATGCTTGGAGTTGATGATAGATTGGGGACTGTAGGCGTACTGATCGTGTGTGTGTGTGTGTGTTTGTGCAGGAGGCGTGTTCGCGATACCCGAATGTGGAGGCTATTGTGGCGTATATGCCGGAGGCCTTTGGTACGCATCATTCGAAGATGATGGTTCTGCTGAGACATGATGATCTGGCGCAGTATGTATTGCTCTGCTCTGCGAGGCTCTTCTGCGTTGTGGGCGAATAGTGATTAACCTTGTTAGGGTCGTCGTTCATACAGCGAATATGATCCCCGGTGACTGGGCTAATATGTCTCAGGCGGTTTGGAGGTCGCCTCTACTGCCGCTGCTAAAGACGGATGGTCTGGAAAAAGAAGACCTAGCCTTGGGTAGCGGTGCACGGTTTAAGAGAGACCTACTGGCTTATCTGGGTGAGTATGGGCCGAAAAAGACAGGCCCGCTGGTCAACCAGCTTAGGAAGTACGACTTTGGAGCTATTCGTGCCGCACTGGTAGCTAGTGTGCCGTCGAAGCAGAAGATCAACGATCTCGACTCGCAGAAGAAGACGCTCTGGGGTTGGCCTGCGTTGAAGGATATCACAAGCCGCATCTCTCCGGCTCAGAATAGCAGTAAAGCTACTACACCACATATTGTTACTCAGGTTGGTCTAGCTGTATCAACGTACCGTATACATTGCATGCTGACACGCGTAGATATCCTCCGTTGCTACACTGGGCCAGACAGATAAGTGGCTGAAAGATGTCCTGTTTGCATCCCTTTCGCCAGCATCGGCATCCAAGTACTCTATCATTTTCCCTACGGCTGACGAAATCCGCCGTTCCCTGAACGGCTACGGCTCCGGGGGGTCAATCCACATGAAACTGCAAAGCGGAGCGCAGCAAAAACAACTGCAGTACATGCGGCCGTACCTTCGACACTGGGCGGGTGATTATGACGCGGCAGAGCCGAGTCCTACATCCAAACAAGACGCAGGCCGTCGTCGAGCCGCGCCACATATCAAAACATATATTCGGTTCTCTGATGCTGAGAAAATGGACACCATCGACTGGGCAATGGTCACCTCAGCGAACCTCTCTACACAGGCATGGGGAGCAGCCGTCAACACTGCAGGGGAGGTACGGATCTGCAGCTGGGAGATAGGGGTCATGGTATGGCCGCAACTATACGTGGAGGACGCCGAGTCCGCCACCATGGTCCCCAGTTTCAAACGCGACACTCCCGAATCTCTTGCAAACAAAGACAACGCACAAACAACAGACACAGTAATCGGCCTGCGCATGCCCTACGACCTCCCCCTAACACCCTACACAGCTCACGACATGCCCTGGTGCGCAACAGCGCAACACTCCGAACCCGACTGGCTCGGCCAGACATGGACACTCGACTAGCCTATATGCTACCGAAATCAAACGAACCAAAATCTGTATATGCACTAGAAGCATGTAGATGACAGCAAAAAGCAGTAATCTAACGTCGTTCGTAACTCGTCACCAAGCCCATAATATCCAAGTTCATATTCCTCCCTAGTTCAAGACATCCAAACCCAACACTTATTCGCGGGTACCGAACTTCTTGATGGCCTTGCTAACCTCCTCGATGTACAAAGCCTGGGCCTTCTGGTCGCTGATGTGGCTGATCTCCTTCCAGGCATTGTACTTGTACTTCGACTACAGCGAAAAAGAAGTCACCCGTCAGTCGCCATCCTCAGAGACAAACAGCAAAAACAACAAGGGAAAAAAAAAAAAAAAAAAAAAAAAAAAA